AAATCTTCATTGTGTGACTCATCAACTTGGGGATACTCTCTATCATCCAATCCAGCTCATTCCAGAACTTCTCCTTTTCTTGAGACACAGAGGTAATGATATTGCTAAGCTACTGTTAACTGTCTTGAAACTAGCATTTGATTTGATTTGACTACACAGTCACTTCTAAGAATACACCAGACTCAAATCATCAGAGGTTGATTTTTACTAGAGGAACGTACCAATGCCTTTGTGAGGTTCTGGAGGACTAGAGGTGAACTTCAGGACATCAGATCGTCTCTCTCTCAGACCCCAGCGGTACAGAATTTCACCATAGCACTTCTTGAAGTCATCAAACTGCAGTGTGTTGGCCGGGTCTAGAAGTCTGACCGGTGCGTAGATTAAGAAACAGATTAGAAAAATTCCATTTGTCCTAATACTCAGACTTGTCCGCGAAGTTTATTGAATTTAAACACAAGAAGTTGTTGTTCTTCTACAGTACAAAACAAAGGGATACTTTGGTCATAGCTCTGCTATTGTACCGCGTATTGTGTGTGGGAAAACCTCACCTCTTGTTCATGTCGTGCTGTTCTCGCTCCCGTTCCCGTGGATCAGCGTAACCCGCGTGAACATTGTGGAAGTCCTCAGGGGAGGATTCTACCAAAGGCGTCGTGTGCTCGGGGTCTCTACCTAACAATGACAAAGAGTCAGTATAAAACACCCGTGTGCACGTAATATCGAGGTGGTTTAGCATGCGACTGGTTTAGCAAGGCTTACTTTGGTTCCAGGTGGCTGAGGAGATGGAGTCAGACGTACTGGAGCAGGAGCCCAAAATGACAGAGCTGGTTGTATAACTGGACTGAGACAAAAGCATACATACAAATCGTTTTTTTAAATTGTTTTATTCCCTTCCTGGTAGTAGAGTTTTGCTAATTGAATGTACTAGCATTAGCATCTCAGACACCACATAGTATGTGGTAAAGTGAACAAAGGTTAAAAGGATACCACAGGAGGAAAGGGAAAACGGCTCCCTTCTCTTTTTAAAGGGTTTCTTTATTTACATGTTAGAGAAAAGCTGGAAAATATGCTTTTGAAATGTATGTGTGTTTTAATGTTTCTTACATGTTAGAGAAAAGCTGGAAAATATCCTTTTGAAATGCATGTTATTTATTTAGTAATTATTTTCTGTCATGCCCCCCCCGAGTTTAAATACTACTGAGAACCTGATAATATGTATTTTTTTTAATCTGTACAAACCACTGTATGAGTTGCTGCCACCTAGTGACTGGAGGCTTGTTTACCGTTACACTTTTGTCCAGTGTGCCATATTCAATTCGAAGCCTATGACGCCCGCCCTCTCCCTCACCCCTGCTTCCCACCCTCCAGTCAGGACGGCCTGCCCCACTATTTGAAAAGTAAATAGCTCGCTTTTGCCTCCAAAGCACGTCCCTACATTTTTTTTCTTACTACACAAACAAAGAAATGAAATTTACTACTAATTAATAGAAGTTATTGAGAAAAAAAAAAGTATCTTCAAGTTGCTTAAATTTAAACAAAAATGTTATTTAAGGCTCAGGAAAACAGAGCCGTTCTTGAGAAAAACGGAATGTTCTGTTTTTGGTGCAAACGGAATTTCCTCGAGATTCTTTCTCTCACGGTCTGTGCTGTATGCAAATTGTGCATGAGGTAATTGAAAAAATTCCACATTGACCAGTGGATGACAACAGCCCCGATATAACAGAATAAGGCCAAAAAAAAAAAAAAAATTGAATTAGTTATTGTGTTAATAAATACAAAACTTAGCAATCGCTAAAAGTAAGAAAACTGGAATTTGACAAAACTATTCTGGAACTTTTTCACACTGCTCTGCATTTGCTGCCCAGAGAAGAAGGACGGAATCGACTTGAACCTGAAACCTTCCAGACCCAAATCCGCTTCTTTAACCACCAAGCCACCACTACCCCCCTAAGATTACTGACTCGGCTTTTGTCTTGAAATGACGTATGGAATTCCAAGGAAACAGAGACTCACATATCGAGACTGATGCGGGGGGAACATAGATGAGCGTGATTGCTGGTGTCCATAGAAAGAATGAAAGCCTGGAGCTGGAGCCTGAGTTCTGAACACACTGCACAGCATGGCCAGAGTCTGAATGTCACTCATGTGACTGTAGTGGTCCAGGCTGAAAGAAACAAGAAACAGTGTGTAAAAACAAGTCTCAAAGGTTCAAGGTTCAAGTTCAGTTTAAATATGTTGGTGTGAAAAAGTAATATAGTAAGACATTAGTGCAAAACGACAAGGTGAGGTAGACCAGGGCAGGCATGATGTTATCGTATTGAGCCTGTCTATTGTGAAAATGAGGAGTCGGCAACCCTAACCACTCAAAGAGCCATTTGGACCGTTTATCACGGAAAAAAGAAAACACACCGGGAGACACAAAACCCTTTTGACATTTGATGTTAAGGTAAGTAGAAGAAGCAGAGAATGGGGTGAAATGGAAAACAACGATTGCTGTGGCAATCAAAACCCCTGAAAAAAAAGGGAAAAGCCAAAAGGAAAAGAAGATGTATAAAGTAACAAATAACCCATTTCCGAATGGGACAAACATTTTGAATTTAAAAGAGGTTTGATTACTTGCAAACAAAAATACTGAACGTCTATTGGAGTCCTCCAAAAAACTTTTGTAAACTTTACCTTCAAATCAAACATATTTTAATTAACTACTCATCGCAGTGTAGTGGCAGTAGGTCGGAGTAATGGGACGCAGAAGTAGAAGAAGCTTGGGAGCCTGGGGGGCGCCTTGGTCACCTGGGTATCAATCGTTGTGTGTATTTTAGTAAGGAAGCAGAAGTAGAAGAAGCTAGAGAGAGAGAGCAGCAGTAGCAGCAGCAGCAGCAGTAGCAGCAGCAAGGAGACGCTACGTTGTCAGTGCGAGAGGACACGGAGCACGACAAAGGTGTGGACACAGATTTGTTTGTTACGTTTCTGGTGGACATTAAAAAAAAAAGGAGCATTCAAATTTTCCAAAGCCACAGGTGGCCACAGGAGAGGGATTAAAAGAGCCACATGCGGCCCCGGAGCCACAGGTTGCTGACCCCTGTTCTAATTAATGTCCTGTACCTAAAAGAAAACACTTTTGTAAACAAAGAAACTGCTCACAGAGTCTCCAGCAAGTGGCGTCCAAACGGATGTCTGGCCCACGGAGTGTCTTTGTCCGGGTCTGAATCCGGACTCAGGTCCTGACTAGATGCTGCAGATGCCAACGCCCATACCTATGTTCCACAAAACAGAAGTCAACCGTGTGACTGTGTACTGAAGACATTTACAACATTTAAGTGTTTTATTGATGACACCGTACTGACTTCTACATACAGGATCACATCATTACGTTTTGTGAGTCATTATGAGACTTTGAGAGCCACACAGGCTGCTAGAGGAGGCGCCATTAGGTATGCAGTTCTTTTGGGGGGATCGAACGCAGAACCTTCTGCATGTAAGGCAGATGTGTTAGGACAGTAGACTATTCGTACCACAAACAGAAGTCAACCGTGTGACTGTGTATAGAAGACATTTACAACATTGAAGTCTTTTATTGATGATACCGTACTGACTTCTACGTAAAGGATCACATCATTACGTTTTTATGAGTCATTATGAGACTTTGAGACCCACACAGGCTGCTAGAGGAGGCGCCATTAGGTATGCAGTTCTTTTGGGGGGATCGAACGCAGA